CAAGGGGCCACATCATCAACACAGGCAACATGGAATGAGAGTGCATCTTCAAGAGCCTTCAGATCTGCAAGGGGAAGAGTACACAACTCTGCTGAATTTGATCGCTATCAAGCCCCAGCCTATCCATTACAGGCTAGTAGTCGACAAATTCCATATCAATATCAAGTAAATTCTCAAAGCCAAAATGGATCAAACGAATTTGCTTATCACGAAAGAGACCCAGTTCCAAATATGAGAGGATTCCCACCTTTCAGGCCTCGTGTTAATGAATTCACATATCAAGAGAGAGGCCAGGTTCCAAATATGAGAGGATTCCCACCTTTGAGGCCTGGTGTTACTGAATTCACATCTAGAGCGAATTTATCTAGTGATAGTTATCGTGCCCACATAAACCGATACAACTTTGATACGAATTTGAATGCAGAACATATTGACCGGCCATTATACTTGTTTTCTAGAGACAGGTATGGAGGGAGAAAATATGCATATGATATATAATCTGTTTTTCATTGGGAAGGCTCGGCCTATAAACAGTTTTGCTTCACCTTTTAACAGTGGCATACCCTGAGTTCTGCAAATGTGCTTTTCGCCTTGGACTAGTAGTGTACATGGTATTTTTGGATGAATAATGAGAGGAGTATAATCATCTTTTCTTTCTTCAAATGTTTTTCGTAGTTATTGGTGTACATATACTTGTTGAGAAAATGTAGTTTTAAATGTTTTTTAAATCCCTGGTAATGATTGAACTAGTGTACTTGTTATTTTTGGATGAACAATGAAAAGAGTGTAAACGTGTAATCATCCTATGTTCAAATGTGTTCATATGGAGGAATGATTTGGGACCTTCTCTTTCTTCCATATAAAAGTATATGGAGGAAAGAGAAGTTGAAATTTTTTCGAAAATATATTTTTAAAATAAATTTATTAATAAAATTAGGATGTAATTAAAAAACGAATGAAATATTTATATTAAGGTCCGTCTAGAGATATATCCCTAAAAACATTTTAATACTTTTGTATAATATTTAAAAAACATAATATATGATGCATTAAAAACACCTTTATATGATTTAAGTAGCAATGATGTCTCAATAATAAAATTGAGGGGTTACCATAAAAACAAAAATAAACTAATGGGTTATTCTAAATACCAATCAAAAAGAGGAGGAGTATAATAGAAAAAACGTGTTGCAAATGACAATTATTTTTAAAATTCACTCAAAATTTGTGCAAATTTCAAGAACTTCACAGCGATACTAGAAATTTTAAAATCTCAAACGAAAATTTTGAAACCAATAAATCTTTTTTCTAGAAATTTCAAATTTTCCGTGAGAAACTTTTGAATTTGTACTCGAAATTTCAAAATTTCCAATATTTTTATATATATTTTTCTAGAAACTTTTGAATTTTCGACAGTTCAAGGTCTTTTTCGAAAATTTCATTATTTTTAATAAAATGAGGAAAATCAAAATTTTCGAAATTTAACTAATATTTTGGTTTTCCCCCCGCTTTTTGCCGTGAAATATAGGGAAAAGGATGACACCGTTGCAGGTAGAGTTACAGATAGAGCGAAAACCCAAACTAAGGTTGTTGAGGTTGGGTCATCCCAGCTACGGACTGGACGAGTAGTTTCAATCGGTTCACACCGAAAACAATTGGCTGAGCAGGGATAGTTTCGCGCACTCCATAGCACTCGACGCCGAGCGGTAAGTTTAGACGAGTAACCCAGAGATGATGTTGAGGCTGTTCATGCTCAGGAGGTGCATTTTTTTTCATAAATTTCAGAATTCTCGGTATTTTTATATGCATTTCTAGAAACTTTTAAATTTCCGACAATTCAAAAAATATGGATTTTTTTTCGAAAATTTCAGAATTTCCAATAAAATGTGTAAAATCAAAATTTTCGAAATTTAACTAATATTTTGGTTTTCCCCCCGCTTTTTGCAGTGAAATACATGGGAAAGGACGACGCCATTACAGGCAGGGCCACAGATAAAACGAAAACCTAGACTAGGGTTGCTGAGGCTGAGTCATCCTAGCTAAGAACTAGACGGGTAGTTCCAACCGATTCACACCGGAAATAGTTGGCTGAGCAATGACAGTTTCGCGCACTTCGTAGCACCCGACACTTAGCAGTGAGATCAGACGAGTAGCCCAGAGATGATACTGAGATTGTTCATGCTCAAGAGGTGCAGGTTCAGGATGTTCATGACCCAATGGTCGAGACATATACGATACATGTTATAGATGAGGTGGCCCAGTCAGATGTCCCTGTTGATGATGAGGTGGTCTATTCAGATGTCCCTGTTGCTGATGAGGTGGATGCCACAGATCCAATTCTTTTTGCTATTGTTGATATAGAGGTTATGAGTCCTGCTTCGACAAGGCCGTCTGTGCACACTGATGGAGAGTTCCCGGGAGGATCCATTTAGTGAGTGATGCTTATCGAGTATGCTGACCATGTGACATACCGACTATAATATATATATATATATATATATATATATATATATATATATATATATATATATATATATATATATATATATATATATATATATATATATATATATATATATATATATATATATATATATATATATATTATGTTTAACTTTAATAATTTATCATTGTTCCACATACGTTGAAAGCTAACTAATAATTTTTTAAACTTTGTTTGTTACAGGACCGTCCCACGCTCAAGTTAACATCCCATCAGTCGAAGATGAAGAACTTTCTCAAGACTCCGATGCTTGAGCAGGTCAGAAAAATTATACATGATTTTGGTCTCCTTGCATTTGCCGACTGCTCACTTACCATGCTCGACGCTTCACTTCTAACTGCTTTTATTGAGCGATGACACAAGGCAGGATCTTCTTTTCATCTTCTGTTTGGGGAGATGACTATTACTTTGAATGATGTTTCCTCATTGTTCCATCTCCCCATCACTGGTAGATTTTTCACGGCTCCTATTATTAGTCAGTCGCTTGCATGTATGGTGGTTGTACGAGATTTTGGAGTTATTGAGGAGGCCGTGCTGGAAGAGTTTGAGTTTAGCAGGGGAGCTTACCTTAGCAGTCTTATCTTTGGGATAGATACGATGAGCTTATTGGGGCACAAATGTAAGAGGTTGCTGCTAGGGTGTACATGCTACATCTAGTAGCATGTACTCTTTTTGCGGATAAATCTCATGTTTATATTGACGATCGGTGGTGATGTTGCAGAGTACAAGAGGAGGTTTAATGCGCTGATTGTAGATGATGTCATCTTGACACCATAAAGGTCACAAAGTCCACCGTAAGTTTGATGAGTCTTCTTTTATGTTCTGGTTATATGCGGTGGGAAATCTTAATCGCTAGACATTTGTCTGAGAGGTGTCTATGACAATACGGTTATGTATAGGGCATCCCACGACCAGTTCTGGATGTTCCATCTGCGGGCATTGACAAGTGGTTTAGAGTAACATCATCATCTCTGCTCGTGCCATTAGATATATCTTAGTGAGGGTTCAACACGACTTGCAGTGTGAGTATGGTTACCTGGAGTGGTACCTCACTGTATCACACCCTTGCATCATCCCACCCGTTGCGTATATAGATGATGTTGGGTCTTCCGATGCAGGGGTACATGACGATGACGTGCCACCGCCACCTCCAGCTGATGCTGATGACCAGTAGCGTCTATACATGGTTTTGGTAAATCTAGATGGTGAGGTTTTTACTAGATTATCGTAGGTAACACACATAGTCCATGGGAGACCTATTTAGACATTATTTTTATGTATTATTTGTATATTATGTGTAACATTACTCAGACATCTACACAACTCTTTTTATTAGATAACGTTTTGGATCTTCGTTTGATGCACGACGAACATAATCTAACATTTGACAAAGAGTTAAATAACTTAGACAAACAATTACATAACTTAAGAAAACAATAATAAATAAGAAAATTTAAATACTACCAAGTGATTCTGGACGTTTCAACATTTTAATAATGTCGTCGAAAGATCTTAAAATCTTTGCATCTAACTTGATTAGCTCCTTAGTTAGCCTACAACAAAATAATCCCCACATAATCGTCAAATCTTCATTGGTCTTCAACTCAATAAGGTTGTATTTCACCTTTCCATTAGTATCAATTCAATCTTCACGAAACTCAATCTTTCTCACCTTGCTGTTATTGGTATCAGACCGTAATTCATTCAACCTGGATGTTAAGGCAGCAAAAGATATGGTGCCATCCAAAAACTGGAACTATACATGAGATGCAACTCCGTTGAAGTAAACTTCTGCCTTAATCAAAATTGAGGAAGAGTTATTTTGAGATGTTTTTTTCAACAACACTTGGCCCTTATTTATACAATTTTAAACTCATTCTGAATCACACAAAGCAGTCGGTGCAATCACATCCGTTTAAAACTGTCGACAAAATTTTTACCATTTGAAATCTTATAAAATTGAACTACCAGAAATTTCACGTTGGTTGAAATTTCCGGTATAACATGGTAATTTTCAAAAATACTAGTATAATTGTCAACGTATCAGAATTTTTAAAAATTCTGGTATATAGAAAATTATGAATAAATTATTGGAATTTTTAAATTTTCTACCGGAAATTTGTATGCAAAATTAATTTAAAATTTTAATAGAAATACTTTTGAAACTATGAAATTATGTGGGGTGCTAAATACAAAAGATGGGGGTGTCTAAGTTAAATGCTCCATTTTAAACAATCTCTCGGTGGGCCCATAGAGATGTCCAAATCCGGTTGAATCTCGCGTTCATTTCGTTCCTTCCTTCTGTTGTGGCGCGAACATCATGCAATTCCTACTACTATTCCATTTTACCGTTATAACAAACTCTCGTTACGATTCCACGCTTTTTTCTAGCATCTCAACTGAGACACAAGATCTCAATCACCTCCATTCGCATGGTTAGTCACAATGAAGTGGTTGTAGATGAAGAAAACTTGAAGAGAATCGGATTAATTCATTCATGGAGTGGACAACATTACAGCATCTTGATCTCCGTCACATTGGACGTGGCGTCGTACCTTATCAACCTCATGCTGCTTCCTTCCATTCTCATCAGGCACTCGTTGCCGTCGCTATCGGAACCTACATCGTCGGTGAGTTTAGCAACCGCACTATCATAGAACATTAGAACCAACTCTCCTTTTAGCAATACAGTTTGTTTGTGCTCCGTTATTTGGCTTTTGAATGTATTTTGGCAAATACATTACGAATTAGGGTTTTTCCATGCATGCAGAATTCGACGCATTGACGGGAAGCAAGATTTCCGCTCTTGACATTGGTGCACCTGTTGTTCGCATGTCATATAGTCCTACAAGTGGCCATACTGTGGTTGCAATTCTCCAGGTTGGATCCACCTGAACTTCTCTTTGGTGCATATTTGAATGATTTATTGTTGTGTATCGTTTTTTTGAGAGTTGTTCTGATTGCGAAGTTCTTTTCAATTTATTACCGTTGTTGCTTTTTCTTTGTAGGATTGTACAATAAGATCTTGTGATTTTGACTTAGAGCAAACATGTGTATTGCATTCGCCGGAGAAGAAGTCCGAGAGAATTTATTCTGATACAGACGTTCATCTGGCAATGACTCCATTACAACATGTTGTGTTTTTCGGGTTTCACAAACGGATGAGTGTTACAGGTTGGATGTTTTGTTTCTTACCTGTGTAGGTAGATGTTTTATTGTCACAGGTTTGATCAATAATCATTATATTTCTTTACATCTGTTTTTGCATAAATGAAGTTGTTGGAACTGTTGAAGGCGGTAGAGCACCTACAAAAATCAAGACAGACTTGAAGAAGCCTATTGTTAATCTTGCATGTCATCCTCGCCTTCCTGTTCTGGTATTTCTTGATTATACTTGTCATAATTCTATTTACTGGCGAGTTCATGTTATATGTATTTCTCGGTAGCATGATCCAGTCTTCTGTTTTTCTTCTAATGATACTTCATTCTCCCTTCTCTTTGTTGTTTGTGTTTGTGTCCTAGTATGTTGCTTACGCAGATGGTTTGATTCGAGCATATAACATTCACACTTATGCTGTTCATTACACACTACAACGTGAGATGATTTGTGACACATTCTATTCTTATTGATATCGTTTATATTTATCCATTAAGCTACACCCTTAGTGTTATTTATTTATTTTTGTCTCTTATTCAGTTGAAAATACTATAAAGCTTAATGGCGCTAGTGCATTTGCATTTCATCCAACTCTTGAATGGATTTTTGTTGGAGATCGACGTGGTACACTATTGGCATGGGATGTATCAATTGAGAAGCCTAGTATGATTGGAATGTGAGTGACTGTAGTTTACCTATGACTGAGGTTTCTCCATTATCTAAATGAAAGACCTATCATCATGGTTATCTATTTTGAATTTGTTACTTACTTATATCCTACTGACGAAAATGTTTGTCTGTTATTTTTGGTTACTCTTGTTCTTGAGTTGGAATCTAATGATTATCTTATGGAAATTTCAGAATTCAAGTTGGCTCACAACCAATAACTTCTGTTGCTTGGCTGACCACTTTGCGTATGCTTGTAACCCTATCAAAGGATGGAAATATGAAGGTTTGGAAAACGCGGGTTATAGTTAATCCTAATAGACCTCCTATGCCAGCAAATTTTTTTGAGACTGCTGGTTAGCTACCTTGATTCTTTCTGCCTCTACTCTGAATTTCTTGCTGGTTTTTGAGAAATAGTTTCTCATGTTATGTATATTTTGAAATTCCCGGACTGCGTGTCCCTCGCAATAGCATGAATATCATCAGCCTTGTTAACAAGGTGTCCATAAAGTCCTTGGCCGAGAAACAATACTTCAAGTTCAACCACATTATGCCAATCTATATAGTTCTTACCTTTCAATTTTTCTATTGTTATAATGGGACGAAGGAAAGAATAAAAGAAATTTAGAAAGAATCAAATCGAATATACCCAACAATTCCAACAATCGACTTACTTCACTTTATTACAGTTCTTGTCATTGTACTTGGGTGGTTAATTCATAATAAATTCTGATGCAGCAATTGAATCACTTGATATCCCACGTATCCTTTCTCAACAAGGTGGAGAGGCAGTGTATCCCTTACCGCGTATTAAAGCTATAGAATTTCATCCAAAGTCTAATTTGGCAGCATTAGTGTTTGCAGTTAAGTGCCAACTTTCATTATGTATACCCTTCTTGCTAGTGAACGTATAGGATACATAAACTTGCTGTTGACTTCCAACAGAATGCAGCAACTGGAGATACTTCAAAAAACAAAACCTTATCCAATAGAGATAGGAGAAAGCAACTTTTTGCAGTTTTGCAAGGTGCACGGGGATCGTCAGGTAACTATTTTTTATTTAGCAGGTATCAAGGCTAAAACCCCTTCAGTATTTCATAATATTTTCAGTTGGAACATAGAAAATTTCCACAATTTAGGTTGTAATTTTATTGCTATACTTTTATCCATCAACGTGATGAATAATAAAATCTTGAGTTTTTCTGTTTATTTTAAATGGGACATCTTACTTTCTGAGCCTTGTTGCCCTGTGTGGTAAAGTTATATGATATTTTTTTTCCATCTTTTTTGGATATCTTGCTTAGTGTTCCATGCAATGTGTTATTTATTTATTTGTTGGGTACAATTCCAAGACATATCTTTAATTGTGTCTTTTGAACAAAAATTTTGTTCATTTAGGTCTATGTCTTGATTATCTAACATACCTCATTTGTTTAGTACATAATTTTGTTTACTGTTGCATGATGTGTCTTTCACTTTCTGACTTCTAACAGTATCATTGAGTTGTATTTGCATTAAATTTGTCGTTCTGTCCATCTCTTTAATCATATATACTAAAGGTTGAGATTCTTCACAGCATCTGTTTTGAAAGAAAAGTTGTCCGCCTTGGGTTCATCTGGAATCTTAGCAGATCATCAACTTCAATCTCAATTACAAGAACATCACCTGAAAGGGTGAGTTGAAATTTGTAGCAAGTAAGGAAGGTATATAACTAGTATTTTATGGAAAACTAGAAGTTGGAATATATTTTGTCGTTCAGATTTTATTCCCCTCACTGTTCTGAGTAATTAGTCTTAGTCTTGAATCTTTTATTGGATTTGTTTGAATTATGAAATTTCACTTGGTATCTACACTTGCACATAGGTATAGTTGCAAGTTACAGCAATAATGTTGAGTTTTGGATGCAGCATATAACCTAGATATGTGGACCATTGATGGCAAAGTTTTTGTTACTTTAATTGAAAGTGTTTTGTATTTGTCCATAATGCTCCTTCTAGAACTGATTTTTCCTTTAGCAGTTATCCATTTTGAGAAGTGTATTGTTTCTCGGCATGTTCTATGAAACCATTTCCTTAACTTTTCAATACACAAAACTTCTTCACAAATCCAACTTGTATGCAGGTTTCCATATTAGTCAACCTTGACCCTCAAACCTATGATGGAAGGCATAAATCTTACCATCATCATGAAATGTCTATTGGCTTCTTTTAAGTTATAGTTAGGTGTGTGTTTGGTTCCCCGATGTGGCTTCCACCAGTGGAGGGAAAATTACAAGTCTTGCAATTTGAGCCTGACTTACATCTAGTGTGTGAACTTCTTTGGTGAAACCAATTATTGTTTGCATATATTTTTGTCAATAAATAAATTTGTGCATATGTATAATGTATTATTCTCTCACTTAGGTAGAGTTTTTCCATCAACTTTCATATTTTTAACTTGTTATCCTCTCCATTTCCTTAATTGAAGTATTTAGGTATTTGTATGAGATCAATATGTTGCTTAAATAGAGTTGGTCTATGAGGTTGCATCAAAATTTTCTAAGTTTTATAAGGCCACCCAAAAGAAGATTGAATTTAGGACTTTTGGGGTGCTAAATGGTCTAGTAATGGTTAAGGTGGACGAAGATGAATTCAGCTGTAGTGTCCAAATTCCAAAATCAGAATAGGAAAATGGAGGGGTACAAAAGAAAAATGTTTTATATTGATTTAGCACTAATTGTCATAAACACTTCTGAAAGGGACTTGATATGATTGATTACATGCCTATATGGTTCTGCATTTCAACCTATAAACGTGTGGGACAATGGCATAAAAACATGAAAAAAGCGAAGCTTCAATTTCTAGCATCAGGGAAATGTACGGTGGGGTGAGTGTACCCACTGTGTTTCCAAACACATACTACAACACTCAAAAGGAGTGTAGACCATCTCTTTTGGCTGAATTTCTATGTTTACTACAATTACATGCCTATGGACTTCAAGCAGCTATAAATGACAGGGAATCTTGGTCTTGGAATCTTTGATTTGGGATAATTCATAATTATTATATGTCATTGTTGACAATCTACTCTCTTTCTTACAGCCATAGTCATCTTACAATATCAGACATTGCAAGGAAGGCTTTTCTTCATAGTGTATAATTCTTTCCTATTGTATTATTTTTTATAAATCCCAGCATCAGAAGGTGAAAAGGATACAATGTGACTCTTTAATTTGACAACAAAGTTTGATGGCTCAAATTTCCTTACAGTCCTACATATAATTTCCTTAGAAAGCTTTAGAAAATCTCCTTGCCTTGACTCAAATTTTGATCTTCTGCATTATTCTTGTAGCATTTTATGGAGGGCCATACAAAAAGTGCTCCCATATCTCGCCTACCCCTCATCGCTGTTCTAGATACCAAGCATCATCTGAAGCACATCCCTGTCGTTCAGGTAAACGTCTCTATGGCAATTTGATTAAGAATTTATGAACCTTATTAGACTTTTTGTCTAATATCCTAAAACCATTCATGCACTACCAGCCATTCCATTTGGAGCTTAATTTTTTCAATAAAGAGAACCGAGTTCTTCATTATCCAGTCAGGGCTTTTTATGTGGATGGACCAAATCTTAAGGCATATAATCTCTCATCTGGATTGGAGAATACCTACAAAAAGCTCTATAACTCGGTAATGTATAGAGTAATAAGTTTAACAAATATCGCTGTGTTGTCCCTCTAATGCTATTGATACCATCCATTGCATAGTATAATTTATGTTGTAACTTTTTATACTTTGGAAGTGAGTATCATGTCTATATCCAGCCTTTTAATGTTCCGCAAATTTTTATAGGTTCCTAGCCATGTGGAGTATCAAGCAAATTACTTGATTTACAGTAAAAAACAACACCTGTTTCTTGTAGCTTATGAATTTAGTGGCGTTACTACTGAAGTTGTGCTTTATCGGGAAAATACTGAAGTAGAGACGGTAAACAGCAAAAGCAACACTGTGAAAGGTATTTTTGTGTGAGGAATACATTTCTTCTCTCTTTCAGCCACAGTTTGGTCATGCATTATGAGCTATAAAATGATTCAAGCAGTTGTCTACAGGTCTAGATGCAGCATTTATTGGTCCCAATGAAAATCAGTTTGCTATTCTTGATGATGACAAGACAGGGTTGGCAGTATTTACTCTACCGGGAGGGCCCTCACATGATCCGAAGGAAATTGAAAAAGCTTTTGAAGAAAATCAACCTACTGAAACTAGTGATGGTTCAATTAAAGGCCCAACACCATTTATGTTTGAAACTGAAGTTGATCGTATCTTTTCTACTCCTTTAGGTGCTTGAAAGTTGAATAAATACCTATCTCGACGTATACATTTATAGATTGTTTTTGGTTTGTAGACACGGGATTCATTGATACTGACGTAAATCAAAATTCATCTATGACAACTAAATAACCTTCTATATAGGGTGTATTTCATCCAAAGTCCACTCATGCATACACATTAAATTTCCTATTATTTGCTTCTTGTGCACCATCAAATATTTTTAAGATTAATGAACACCTTACTTTTCAAATACATGGAAATATCTATGCTTCTTCTGTACAACTTTTCTTGTTTTACATTTCTGAAATTTAGCCTGCAACATTTACATACTATTTACTCGCATTTCACAGGTTGGGTTGGTAGTTTTTAAAAAACCATATCAAGTCTTAAACCGGTCTCTATGTATTCCCAATTCACAGCAAGACATACACACATTTTTAGATGCTTACTATTAATTTAGTAATAATATAAAGTAATCTTAGTTTTCTTGGTTGTAGAGTCAACGTTGATGTTCGCTTCTCATGGAAACCAAATTGGATTAGTGAAGCTCGTAGAAGGGTATCGCCTTTTAACTTCAACTTCGACTTCAACTTCTAATGGACAGTATATATCAAGCAATAGCGAGGGGAAAAAGTCACTCAAGTTGAAAATAAATGAGATTGTACTCCAGGTATCACTCAGTTGCATGCCTAATTATGACTAGAACTAGTAGGGATATACAGTTTCTCTGTGCAATCAAGCACAAGTGGAGAAAATAAAGAAAATGGAGAGACAAAAGGCCCTATAGTCGATAGCGGTCTCTACAGCAGTAGTGTAGTGAGCCCTAGGAGCTATAAGAAACTCATTGCATTGGGGTTTTGAGTAGCGGCTGCAGCATCGTCGATAGAGGTCAGATAGTTGCGAAATAGAGATTGCAGTAACCGCTAACCTGAAACTAAAAATTCTGAAATTTTTGTTGTTTTTCATTAATCATTTTACCTGTTAGCTATTTTTTGCTTTGAACTTACAGTCGTTCCCTGTACTTTAGGACATTTTGGTCGTTTCACCTTAAAATTCTGAATGACAATGAAATAGAATCCTCTTGTCTTTGCCATTTCTTCTCTGAATTGGCCTCATCATCTTCCCCCCTCACCTTGTGCGGCTATTTGACAGCCCATTTTGCAATCTTGAGCTAACTTATAGAATCACACCAGTTTAAGACTCTAGGTATTAGAGTCGAGTTAAGTTGCTTACTATATAGTTTCTATGTAAAGTCGAGTAGATCCACCTAAGAATCATGCAGACTCACGTAGAATCGCTAGTTTGAGGATATTTGAATGACCAACAACATAATGGTTATACCTGCTTCCCCTGCATACCTAAATATAAAATGAATCTGCACAATGGAGCAAACAATATCAAATGGTTCTGCATTATGGTTCTGCTTGGTAACACAGTTTTTTCAAATTTGTCAGGTGCATTGGCAAGAGACTCTGAGGGGTCAAGTTGCAGGGGTTTTGACAACTCAGAGAGTTCTTATTGTTTCTGCAGCACTTGATATACTTGCTGGCACTTCTACAAATTTTGACAAGGGACTTCCTCTGATATCCTTGAATGTTTTTTAGTTGAACCATTTATTCATATTAAGGGGTTTTTAAATGATTGGGTGGAATTTTGTAAAGAATTGAGCAGTTGGAAATAAACCGCATCACGTTAATTAAAGCCATATTCACTCTTTCCTCTGCTTCTACCTTCCCCCCTTTCCACAAGCTCAGCTAAGCAGGCCAAAAATTTCATATGCATTTTGAATATGTTCCTGTTTTTAATTCCTTAATTGATGCCTACTTCAGATCACTCTTATGGGTTGGGCCTGCCCTTCTTTTTTCTACTGCCACTGCAATCAGTATACTAGGGTGGGATGGAAAAGTGAGGACCATTCTCTCAATTAGTATGCCTCGTGCAGGTAATTATCTTTCTCTATTCTGGGAATTCATGATATCTTAGCCAGCTATTTTGTCTGTTTTACTTTATCAACTACGGTACTATTTTTTCCGGGTTCTGTCCTATTGATATATTTTAATAATTTCTTATACAGTCTTGGTTGGTGCTTTGAATGATCGGCTATTGCTTGCTAGCCCGACAGAGATAAATCCCAGACAGAAGAAGGGAGTTGAGATTAAAAGCTGTCTTGTTGGTCTTCTTGAGCCTCTTCTCATTGGATTTGTCACAATGCAACAACGTTTTAAGCAGAAGCTAGAACTATCAGAAATACTATACCAAATAACATCAAGGTTTCATTCTCTGCTACCAAATGCTCTCCTTTTAAAAAATCTAACTTCATAATGGAGGAAGTTCTAGAATTCATGATATCATTTCACATTTCTTTATGCTAAAGTTAGCAGCTACTGACACTGTCAATTTTCATCTGAATGAAGATTTGACAGCTTGCGTGTAACACCAAGGTCTCTGGACATCCTTGCTTTAGGCTCTCCCGTTTGTGGAGATTTAGCTGTGTCATTATCCCAATCAGGTCCACAGTTCACCCAGGTAAGTAGTAATTCTTTTTATCTTGGTATTTAGTTATTCTCTATCTGATCTCTTAAGGATGTTGAGTTTTTATCTTAGGTGATGCGGGGGGCCTATGCTGTGAAATCTCTTCATTTTTCAACAGCTTCATCTGTTTTGAAAGATGAGTTTCTGCGTTCAAGAGACTATCCACGATGCCCTCCGACATCTCAATTATTTCACAGGTTCAGACAGTTGGGTTATTCATGTATCAGGTAAGAAAATTCACGGCACTCACGTTTCTGTTATTCTAGATAGAGGAACTACAGAAATATGATGATTGTTTGTTCCATCATTACTGATTTTCTTGATATTCTAGCAGAGCTAATGCTATTGATGAGGTGTAATGTTGTTCTCAGAATAGCTTGAATGGTTGATCCAAATGTTTGTTCACTTTTGTAATTTAAGATTACTTGCAGGTTTGGACAGTTTGATAAAGCAAAAGAAATCTTTGAAGTTACCGCAGATTACGAAAGCATGCTTGATCTGTTTATATGCCACCTTAATCCTAGCGCCATGAGGCGTCTTGCTCAGAAGTTGGAAGAAGAAGATCTTGACTCAGAATTGAGGCGACATTGTGAAAGGATTTTACGGATTCGATCTACTGGGTGGACACAAGGCATATTTGCCAACTTTGCTGCAGAAAGTATGGTTCCTAAAGGACCTGAATGGGGTGGTGGAAATTGGGAAATCAAAACCCTTGCTACTGCAAAGGATATACCTAAGTGGGAGCTTGCTGCAGAGGTGACACCATATATGAAGACTGATGATGCTGCGATTCCATCCATCGTTGTAGACCATGTTGGTGTGTATTTAGGCTCAATTAAAGGAAGAGGCAATGTTGTAGAGGTAACGGAAGATAACTTGGTCAAAGCCATCACTATGGCAGGCAGTGATGTTAAAGCCAATGATCTGGAATTATCTCCAATTAAATCCCTACGTAATCAATTGAAGGGGGTTGATAAGACCCAAGGTGATTCACTGATGGGTCTGGAGAGTCTTAACAAACAGTTTGCTAGTTCTTCTGCTGATAAACAAGCTAAAGCAGCAGAAGAATTTAAGAAATCCATGTATGGAGCTGCTGCTGATGGTAGCAGTAGTGATGAGGAAGGATTATCAAAAACCAAAAAAATACATGTTAGAATTAGAGAGAAACCAATTGAACCTTCTGTGGATGTGAACAAAATTAAAGAAGCAGCTAGTAAATTTAAACTTGCCGCAGGGTTAACTTCATCAAGGAGCAGGTCTTTAACCAGTGGATCGCAAGATTTTGGCCAGATTTCAGCCATGCCACCTGTAACAACAGGAATGCCTGCTCATACAGTTTCAACTCCCGGCGACCTGTTTGGTACAGAAGCCTTTACTCGACCAGGATCAATTTCACAGCCAGCAACTGGGGCTGAAGGTAGAGGGCCTATTCCAGAGGATTTCTTTCAGAATACTGTCTCATCCCTCCAGGTTGCTGCTACAATGCGTCCTGCTGGGTCGTATCTGTCTAAACTTACTCCTAGTGTAGAAGGCAGCCAGGCAACTGCTAACCAATTTAGTGCTTCTAAAGCTGATGTAGGAAATGTTCCTCCAAATGCTGTTCAACAACCAGTAGTTTCAAATGATCCCATTGGATTTCCTGATGGTGGTTTGCCACCACAATCCTCGGCTCAGGCGGCAGGCATGCCCTCATCACAGCAGCAGGCACCAATTTCTACTCAACCTCTTGATCTTAGCGTGCTTGGAGTACCGAATTCTGCTGATAAGCCTGCACAAGTTGGGTCTCCACCATCTTCTGTTCGACCTGGACAGGTATAAATAAATATATGCATAGGCATCCATACACGTATTGAAGATATAAATACGTACATTCATAGCCATTCATATACATGTAGAACTAGGAACACTCTCTAACCAGACTTTTGAAGATACTTTGTTACTTTGTTTGTGCCATTTGTTTTATTGAAATTCAACAGTATTTTCCATACATTTGGGAAGAACAAGAAAAGGCATGCAAGAATCGGGTATTCTGCACTGGATTAAACCGACATGCAGCATAAACAGAAAGGAATACTCGCTTTGTTATTTTACTTTCACTATTTGGTGGATTCTAGAGATAGAGGAAACTATGAAGGTTTGCTAATAAAAGTGTTCTTATAGAGCTAGTGTACCTATAAACAATAGTTACTTCGGATAATGCCACATCTTAGAAGCCTGCTTTACTGAACCTGGTAAGTTTTAGCCTTTCACCTATAACTAAGATGTTCTTTAGGAAGAAAGAAAATAGGAGAAAACTAGTGGCATGTGGAGACAATGGAAGGGATATGTGAGGTGATCAGTTTGGGGGAATATGTGTGAGCAGTAACCTGCACACTTGACAGGTGGGGCTGGGACCTGATTCTGTTGGTAAAACAGAATAAAGAGAGGAGGGTGAAGAATGCAAGGTTTTGGTCAGGATTGGGAAGGGTAGCAGCAAAGAACTCGAAGAGTTTGTAATGTCTCCATCATTTTTTTTTATCTGTGGTAATGTGTACAGGTAAGGGTCTGATACTATAATGGAAGCTGAAGAAGGAACTCAGATAATTATTCAATATAACCATGTTCTAGTTCCACTTTCCTATTACTGAGCATGTATGATTTATTTATTTGTTCCCAATCTCATGACTCTTATGACAGGTTCCTCAAGAGGCTGCTGCTTCTGTATGTTTCAAGACTGGACTTGCTCACCTCGAGGTCAATAATCTTCGAGATGCTTTTTCTTGCTTTGATGAAGCTTTTCTTGCATTAGCTAAGGAACAATCTCGCGGAAATGATATAAAAGCTCAAGCAACAATCTGTGCTCAATACAAGATAACAGTCACTCTTCTTCAGGTATCAGGACCATGCTCCAAATTTTAATAACAGAGAGAGAATGTATTCTGACCTAAAAATACATTAGGTTACTGAGCTTCTGTATCTCTATTCTAGGCCGTGGGGAAGCATTATCATAAAACTGTAATTAGACTTTTTCCTGTTGTCAATATTTGCTGTGTAGTTAAAGTGTTTGTAAAGATAGCTGACTCCTGAGATTGCAAAGCATGAGACAATAAAAGGGATTATTATAATCTCTGCTACTGTCATACTTGATATGAAATTATACTTTAAGAACGAGTGTAAAATTTTCCATAATTGATATAGAATCCAGGGCCGATTTAATTTCATTTTAGTCTAAGCCACGAGAAATAAAATTAAACCTTAATCTACACTTGTGAATTGAGTGTTAATATTTTTGTGGACACATTGGTGGTCAATCATACCTGACAAGTGATAAATTGTGTAGAGTCTCATGTTGAAAAAGGATATGGCTCAAAAATAGGTTTATAAGTGGAGGTAATCTTTACTTTACAAGCTAGTTTTGTAAGGTTGATTTAGACCAGCCCAAGTTCTAAGATGATACAGAGCCTATCGATTGGGGTCATCAACCGTTTATATCCTCACGCCATGTTCAATAGTGTTGGGCGTGAGGAGATGTATTAGGAAAAACCCAACTCCCGCTTAGATTAAAGATAGATCCTGAAAAAGGTTTATAAAGAGAGACCCCCTCATCATAAAAGCTGATTTTGTAAGGTTGCGTTAGGCCCAACTCAAACATTATGATGTAACTCAAGCCTATTGATTCGTTGGGCAACATGTCATCAGGTTTCTGCCATCGAACCACCCCTCATATATATCCATGCACCAAGACCAATAGGGTTGGGCCTGGGGATATAGCCTGAAAATATGTTTAACTCTAGCTCAAATTCTACGATAGATTACTCCATACTTCTTTAATCTTGTTGCCAACTAATGTATATGTTAGATATGCACATTGTTCCGAATTTCTTTTACTTTTTCATATTTCTATTCCTTTATTAAATTTAAGATGTCCTTGTGACTGCAGGAAATCGGACGTTTGCAAAGAGTTCATGGTTCAAGGGCAGTCAGTGCAAAAGATGAGATGGCAAGACTTTCACGCCATCTGGGTTCATTGCCTCTTCTGGCTAAACACAGAATAAATTGCATTCGAACTGCCATAAAACGAAACATGGAGGTGCAAAATTATGCATATTCCAAGCAAATGCTAGAACTACTATTGTCAAAAGCACCTGCGAGCAAGCAGGAGGAATTTAGGAGCCTGATGGACTTGTGTATTCAGAGGGGTTTGACTAACAAATCCATTGATCCACAAGAAGATCCTTCGCAGTTCTGTGCTGCCACATTAAGCAGACTGTCAACCATTGGATATGATGTATGTGATCTATGTGGATCCAAATTTTCAGCTGTGAATGCTCCTGGATGTTTCATATGTGGAATGGGAAGCATCAAAAGATCAGATACAGTCACAGGGTCAGTTGGCCCAGTTCCTTCCCCATTTGGTTGAGCCCCCTAGTAGTGTGTGCTTCCTTCGAAAGCTGTTAAAATAACTTCACTGTAAGGAGGGCATACAACTGATAGTAAGGGAGAAAAAGTTCTCGCATGAGTTTCTGAATTTTGTCCACACAGCCTGAATTTTGTAGTGGTTATTTGAGATGACTTCTCCAGTCTGCTCCCCGCGCATTCTTCAACAGAATTTTTCCTTCTGGGTGATTTTTTCTCTGTAATTAGGGGTTTTTGTTATCCAATAATTTGTAATACATATTGGTCCTTTTTGAAGACACAAACAGGAAGTTTTGAATAGCATAATTACATTCTACCTCATAATACATCATCTTCTTTAGAATTAATCTGGGTTGTCAATGAAAGTTAACAGGTAATATTGAATAGTGTTGCAAAAATGTTTTATTATGTATTTGAAATGAGACAATCACTCCGCTTAAACTTTATTGCTAAGGGTATGCTTGGATTGATGGAATGTGACGGAATGGAGCGGAAAGGAATGGTATGGAATGAGATTCCATTGTTTGGATCAATTAAAATCGGATGGAGCACAGCGAAATGGGTGGTATGGTTTCCATTCCATTCCATCACTTAACCATCATATTTCTTCCCCTCTGATTTGGGCAGAATGGAAAATTTGTCTTCCTCCGTCCTAAAATACCCAAACGATAAAACGAAATCTTCATTTCACTCCATTCCACTCTATTCATTTCATGATATTCAAACATAAGGAAAAGAATTATTCCATGTTGTATATATTGTTACTGCCATAGTAATATCTTAAAGATTATGTTTCTGTCAATCATTTCATTCATCCAACCCCATTTGTGTCTGTATTATTTTTCAAAGATATCTCTTTATTTGGTGGGATCGTGGAATTTTTTCCCTGTAAAAGCTATGCTTATTGCTAAGAACCTTATTACAGTTTACAAAGGTCAAAACCCTAGCAAAGGAAAGGAAACATTGCTTGCTATCTACTTTCTATGTGCACTATCCAATATGCAAAATCAACCACATCAAAGTTCAGAAATCCGTGTTGATTAAAGAGTCGAGTCACTCACAGCACCTCTCTCTGGGTTATTTGTGGTTGTCCAGAAGAAGAAAAATCAGGTTATTGGTGTACAAGCAACCTGAAACTGAAGTCATAGGGCATCATTTGGACCAGCTGTGAAAGAGGCTGTCTTCCTTTTCTTTCAAGGCATTCAACTGCTTCCTTTCTCAGTTCAACAGGTAGCTGAAGGCAGACCCAATCCAACAAAGATTCCAAGTCCTTTGCAAAGTCAAGTAAAAACCAGTCAAGTATCTTTGGAATTATTAACTGGTTTGTTGTTGTAATGCCAACTGCTGCTTGTAAATAATCTCTCTTCGCTGCTTCTAACTCATTATCAACTTGTGGAGCTGTGTACACCCTAACCTTCATAAACATAAAACAATATATATATATATATATATATATATATATATATATATATATATATATATATATATATATATATATATATATATATATATATATATATATATATATATATATATATATATATATATATATATATATATATATATATATATATATATATATATATATATATGTTTGTTCCATCAATTCTACAAGCCAAATTAGGAAATACATTGACTTATGAATTCATCCACATTAAGAGTGACTAGTAATGCTAAGTATATTTAGGACATATTGTAATACATCTAAGTTTTAAAGCTATCTCAATCCTTCAAAACTGACGAATATGGTAATGATTGTCAGAGTTATGTAAGTTCTATTTATGTCATATCATACTGCCATCTAAATTGAGAAACAAACATACCACAGGTGAAGACCAGCTTCCACAGGATAGCGCAAATGAAACCAAAGGCTCGGTCCATTCCAAGCCAAATATGCTTCTTGCTTTCATCTCATCATTTTTTGCAGCTTTTAGACAGGTCTGTTGCAGGAAGCAAAGATGAAAATCAAGGAATGAATTGTAATCTACAAAACATGACAAGGACTTCAAAATATTAGGAAGACTACATAATGTTTATAAGCACAAGCAGAGAATAGAGTATGCACTTACAAAACTCAGATGATAAGGAAGTCTCAATATGAAATGCTCTATTGTAATTGCCTTGAGCAAGTGGCCCCCCACTACTATTGTTGCCTGTCACAAGCATTGCCATATGTTTGAGCTCTGAATAATTTGTTCTTAAAACAAAAACAAACTTTGAGAATGTTAGAGAGATTATTGTACCTTCTGCATCAGTGCTACAACCATTTCAGGATTCTCAGGTATGCCATGCTCAAAATATGCCTACAATTTATTCAAACCAAATAAGTATAGTCACCTCAACATGTTAAGCAAAGCTATTGTGAATATGTAACATCAAATACAAATCTTACATTCATCATACAGGAATTATAAATGTTTATCCAAAATGCAAGTTTCTCCTGATGAGTAAGACCCTTCAAGTTCACAGAAGCAAGCTTCCCAAATAGGAACCTGAACATGTTTGTTAGATTACACAGATACTCATAGATAGCATCAGAGAAAAGTTAGTAAGCCTTTATAACTTACTTTAACCTATTGGTCAGAAACGCTGCATTTCTCATTCGGTTGAAATCAATGGTGGGTGCTTTAATCTCATAAAAACTATTGTAGGCACCAATATCTCTAGTTTTGGATACTGAACAGATACCGTATGGATCACACAGAGGTGTTTTTGTTTTTGACTCTCCGAAATTGTCCTTGAATGTGCCAATTCTCATAAATATGCTACATAAACACTTGACAATATCCTCTGAAACTCTATTTGGTGTGCTATCAACTTCTAACACCTTATCATTTGATGAAATTGAAGAATTTTGTGCGCTTTCCTTATCTACTAATCTCTTTTCCAGCTGAACAGCAAAAACAAAATGATTGTTAAAATGACAGCTCGATCATTTCAAACATCGAATATTAACTGTTGAACACTGTTGAGTACCTGCAACTTCAAGTGGTCTACACTCTTGTCAGATGATTCTTGTTTGGTTGGTGATTTCTTCACTGGAGTGATGACTTTTGCCGTTTTCTTTTCAAGAGAATTCTCTTTTGGTATCGATGATAAGGATTTTTGTTTTGAATGTAATTGCTTCCTATTGACTAGTTTTCTACTAGAAGCACTTTTGGCAGGAGAAATCTGAGGCTTAATGGTGGTAGAATTAAGCTCACTTTGAGACAGAGATTTTGATCTTTGATGATTGGATCCTCTGATTGAATTCTGCTCAATTGGATCCATCTGAATTTCCGCATTCCTCTTGGAGGAAATGTAGACAGCTTCCTGATATAAACCTTGTCTGAAATTCACTATCTTCTCTTCTAATCGAACCACCTCTTCCTCCAATACCGCAACCTCAGCCACAAGCTCTAATGTCTAAAATACACAATGCACAGTTTTCTTACTTTCCATATTCCAAGAAATCAAAAACTTAATTCAAATCAGGATCAAGATATATGATGAATACAATTGATTATATCTACTTACACGAGGAGGGAGATAAGGAGGAAGACGAGGAAGTGCTCCCAAAGGTCTTGCAAGTGCTCTTTCTAACACTCTATGAACATTCTCTTCATATCTTAGCTTCCTCTTTAACTTATCAACCTGCATAACTAACTAGAATGAAAAATTACATATGATGTAAACAACAATTCATAATGTAAGGAATATGTCACACTCACATCCTGTATCAAAGCCATTTTCCTTTCTCGACGCGCCATTTTCTTGCTCCCTCCTTTTTCCATCTTGTCCTGCTTTGCAGATTGAATGAGAAACACTTTGATTTTTGTATTAAAGAAGAAGAAATTAGTTTGCGGTATTTTGAAGGAAGTTTGATTACCTGGAGAGTGGTGTGCGCTCTGGTACTCATGTTACTCCACTTTCACGGAAAACAAGAAAGAAAATAATGCAATCTAAAAGAATACTTCAGCAGAAAAGGCAAAACATGCACAAGTTAAAGTGAATCTGCCACAAAACAGTAACCAATAATTCACAAAAAGAAAAAGAGCATAGAAGGAAGCAACTTTAGAGACAGAGTCACAGAAAATTTAAGAAATATTTCATACAATTCAGGGAGCGGGAAAAAGAAAAAAAATGGTTTTTGTTTTACATAATAAAAAAAATAAGAGTGAAAAGAAAGGGAAGAAAAGGGCATGGAAGGAGAAGGAAAACGATGAGGTTTGTTTGTTTGTTTGTTTGTTTGAGGGAATACTGCCTCATATAATGACCAATGAAACTAATTGTGAAGTGAAATGTTTAATGATAGTATTGAATAGTGTGCTACATGCATATTGCTAACAATTTAATGTTGTTGACAGACCTAGAGAGAGACAGAAAAATTCCTTTCCTTAGTCAAACTGCTACTAATGTGTTAGGGCATTGGATGGGAACACAAGATTAAGAAGCAAGCAACGTTTGTCAGTAATCTCCTCCTCACTCATAATCTCATATATCCACTTTTTATTATTACTCCTACGAGATTCTCTTGTGATGTACTATTACTACAATTTGTATCTTATATGAAGCGTTAAAAATTACTACAAACTCACACATAATCGTGAATATTAGGATTTTAATCCTGACGAAGACATACAATTTTACAATATTGACTTTTATCAATTACACTGAGATATGGAGACAAATATTATTCATATAATCACACCAAAAAACTTATTTAAAACACTTTTTATTTTTATATTGATAAAAAATATTTAAATTAATATTTTGAAGTCTAAATTTTATATTTAATCTATAATTGAGAATTTCAATCTCACTTTTATAAATGAGTTAATTGAAAGTGAGGAAGTTACTTTAGTTACCTATTATGGATTGTGTAATTGGATTTAGGGGTAGTCTTAATTAAGAATGACGTAGCAAGCTAAAATAAAAATGGGTGAAATCAAAAGCGGTTGATAAAAGGACTTTGCTTTGGTCATGATACAAAGTGTGATTTGTGACATGCTTTATATGCTATGCTAAAGATTAAGGGAAAAGCATGGCATGGAGCATAAGTAGTGCTAGTGGATGGCATCACTTTCATACGCTGTTTCCAAAGGACGGAGAAAACGACTTCAACCAGAAAGTAAAATAAATATGAAAGAAAATATAAGAAAAAGAAATTACATTTGTCTAATATATATATATATATATATATATATATATATATATATATATATATATATATATATATATATATATATATATATATATATATATATATATATATATATATATATATATATATATATATATATATATATATATATATATATATATATATATATATATATATATATATATATATATATATATATATATATATATATATATATATATATATATATATATATATACTGACAACAAATTATGTCACCACTTTTTTTTTTATCGCAAAACTAATTTTCTTAAAACTACATTTTTAAAATAATTAGTTGGTCTACAGGACGGAGCCAAAACTTTTAATAAGTGGAGACACACATATTTTTATTAAATTATTGTATGATTAATTAATTTTTGATGTTATTAAAAATATTTATTTTTATGCTTGTGACAAATATTTATTTAATATTTTATATCTTATATTTTTATATATTTGATTCTTCATAAAATTATTATTAAAAAAACTATTTTATGTCATAATTTTCTTAAATATTATTAAAATTAATTTTCAAAATAAATGTATCATTAAATACAAAATAGTTTTACTAATGTTTTTTTAAAACTTAATTGTAGAAAAAATAATTAAAATTGTAAATAAAACATATATTAAACTATTAAATATTATTAAATGGTATAAAAATAATAAAAATTTAAAATCAAGTGGGGGCAGCAGGCCCCTTTTCTTTGTATGTAGCTTCGTCCCTGTTGGTCCAGTCGTGATTGACGTTAGATTTGGTAGGGAGGATCATGGTTCGATCCCCCACAATTGCGATTGAGAGGGAGCCGAAACTACTTCATGCTAGAACTGACCCTCGATTAGATTAGACGGTCCAATGGATCGGATACTGGTGGTGAAAATTCAAAAAAAAAAAAAAGTACATTTATTATTAGAGGATACACAACATTCTTATTTATGAACACTTACACTCTTTATAAAAGAATCACTTTTTTTTGTGTTAGAAAATCAAAAAGTGTCAAAGACAAATGGTACGAAGCAAGTTAATTGTTAGAACACTTTCTCAATTTTGACCACTTTACTTGAAGTGATTTTGAGAATTGTTTATCGCACTGTAAAACCTCTGGTCCTCAGCCCCATTAGTGAGAAAATCTTTGATCATATTTACGCATGCATATTTCCCTCCTACCCACCCATTCATCAGAACATCGGTTGATTTAACTGCCAATTTACCCTTCTGTGAGTCGATAAAAAAATTTATACACGTCTCTTTCTTCACAAATACCTTAGCATGCCTAAATATATCAAATAAGATATCCTTATAAACATATTGATTTTTTTTATAGAAAATATATTCAGTGTTAAGACCTCTTAGATCCTAAACTTTTAATTTGTTGATATTTTTGACGTTTTTCGACTTCCCACCAAGTGATATTTTTGAGGTTTTTCAGACTCCCCACCAAGTGGTGTCAAAACCATGAATCAATCTTAGTGATGGGGTGAGTCACATTTGTGGGAGAGATTATTGTTGTTTTATAATTTTGAAAAATTGTCAATGAAGAAATTACTAAGTCGAGTTGCGGACTAGATTCCTCTATTTAAGATGTTTTGCGACACTGCTCAAATTTGTGCAAACAGACACTTAACCACGATGCCTCTAGAATAAAATATCTCAATTCTATAATGTACGATTACTAGTTGCACAATAGATAATCGGTATATAAATATACTCTCTGATGGTACAAAGACCTGTCAAATATAGCATAAATATCATTAATAGTATTTGATATAACGATCACTCATAATAATTTCTCAAACGAGGAGAAATTTAAATAATTATCCAATAAGAATTCAATAATGGTCATTTGATCGTTCAATGATTTATGTGACAAAGAGAAATTCAAATAATTTTCAATAATGGTCATTTGACCATTCAATGATTTATGACACAAAGAGAAATTCAAATAATTCTCCAAAGTGACTATAAAAATAATACTTGATAAATTCTAAACTCAAATGAGGAGAAAATAAAATAATTTTTTTTAAAGAGAATTCAAGAAAATACTCGAAAAATTCAATGGGTGAAAAGAAAGGGGAAAAATTGGCGCTTCGACAATAAAAAACGCAGAGTATATGCAGAGAGAGGAAGAAAAAACTCAAATGAAATTTTATGTGTGTTTTGGAATGAAACATGTGCATTCATTTTATAATGAAGTAAGTTAATCAAGGTATCTAATCTAATCAATGTGAAACTACCAACTAGCACACAAACACTTAATTTTTCTAACAATGTGGAAATTAAGGGATTTTTTCAAATTCAACTCCATATTGGATATTGGCATGTTCCAGCAATCCCCCACTTGAATTTAAAATTTGTTTCAGAAGTAACGTCAAATATTTTTAAGATTGTGTATAAACAGAGGTGTCTATGACTTAAACCTTTGTGTAGCAAGCAGGATTCTGGTTTAACAAGAGTGACACAATTGTCTTGAACTATATCTCAGACATCAAACCTTCACATAGCCTTTTCCTAAGGTGTATTCTAATAAGCTCGTGTTTTAATGGCCTTGCACATGTATCCTAATTTAGCGAAGACTTTCGGAATCCTACCTTGAAATTGTATAGGAATTGATCTACGTTCCACAATCACACATGTGAGTCTATCAAGAGTACTTATGTAGCTAGGTACTTTCTCATGCAGAGTACAAATCTCATTAAGGGTTTCTGTTATCTCATCCTATTTTCTCTTCAGGATTCATGCTTGTCTTATTTATACTAGCATGATAATTTCATATTACTAAAAACATGTTATTACCTGTTGAACTTATTTCTTGAGATCTCCAGTCTATTAGGCCAGGTTACCCTAATGAGCAACTCATTTTTCTATAGACAATAGTCTCATCTTCTTAGATGTATTATGGACTTTCTATCTAGCTAATGTTTTTATCAAAGGATCTGCTAAATTTTTATCAGTGCGTTCATGATCCACCATCTCAACTCCTTTAGAGATACAATCTTTAACAATGGTGTATTTTCTCCTTATTTGACATTTATTACCATTATAATAATTGTTCTCAAATTTTGTAATAGTCATGGTACTATCGCATTTGATCAACACAACTGACATTTTTTTTCATAGAGGGATCTTAACTAGCAAGCATATCAACAACTTGCTTCTTTACTAGCAATTTTTAATTCTATGGTTTCAGACTACATCGTAGAATGAGCCAAGATAGTTTGTTTCTTTAATTTCTCATATATGACTCTTCTAACTATATTCAATATATAACCATTAGTTGTTTTAGAATCATCTTATAAGGTGTTCCAATCTACATTATTGTATCTTTCAAGTACAATAGAAAATCACTGATAATGTAGACCAAGATTCATGGTCCTTTTAAGGTATTGTGCAACTCTTTTAATGTCTTGCCAATGCTCATTGCTCGATCTACTAGTAAGCATGCACCACAATCCTATGCCATAGAAATGTCGGGTCTAGTACAATCATTAACATACCTATGACTGTCAATGATGCTCGCATATTCAGTTTGTCTAACAATGTCAACAATATTCTTAAACAATTTAACACTTGGATCATATGGTGTGCAAGTAGGGTTTATAGACAAAGTAGTTATATTTCTTTAAGATATGATCCACACGGTGAGATTGATCCATATTTCTTTTTCGAATATAGTGATATTGATTCCAAAAATCAAACTGCCTTCTTTGAGGTGTTTCATATCAAATTTGTCACG